AGATATTTTGTGAAAAACATATAATAGGTTAGTTTATATTATATAGACATTTTATGGCAGACTATGAAGTCAAAGACAAAGAGGCGGCCCGTTGCTAATGGTAAAAGCACAACTATAAGGGGCAGTGTCGTAGACGACACGTAAGAATTAAGCATTTTTTTTTACATAAATGCATTTATGCACTCATTAATCCATAAATATATTGCTTAAAAGATATATACATAGATCAAAAGGAAATTATCTCAACAGATAATAATCTTTTTTTTTCTAGGATTTATTGACTGATTTGTGACGAGTGTTAATCAGCAAAATATAATAATGTACATGTATGGATAAGGATGTATACAAAGCTAGCAGTGAAAGTGCTTTAAAATTGCGCGTTAATAAAGATATATAATTACCAAGTGTGTGACGTTAGTGACAAACATCTTGTGGAAAGAGATAGTATTCGTTATAATTCGAACTTCGCTTGATACAAGATGGTTATATTTCTTTTATAGGGTATAATTCACCATTTTGAATCATGTATTTTTCTCCAATAATTTTAACTTTCAATTTGGAAACTTATAATACCTCTTTTCAAAAACTTGTTTTTCCCCATTCATTTCAAACAAATTATCACTTTTAAAATGGTCCTATTTGTTTGTCTCGGATCGAAAAAGGATTATGGATCAAAAGTATGGAACTTTTTTGATTAAAAAAAAACATATCTAACTGACTATTGCAAAGCGAGGAAAGACTTATTGGTGATCTGACGTAACAATCAATTACTCCAATTCTGCTTTTTCACGATCTTTTTTGAAGTAGATTAAAAACGGTGCATGCACGTACGAACATATATTTTTTACTAATGGATTGTATTTTTCTTTTTGTTGAACGAAACTCGTAGATTTTTTTTTTCTTTAATGAACGTCATATATAGGTTACGTTTTTCTTTTTGTTGAACGTCATTTGGGTTTACGTTTTTCTTCTCGTGGAACGTCATATTATCCGTGTATATAACATTACCTTTATTGAATGATCAAGCAAAGTCTACTATGTTTGAATCCCATAAATAATCTAACTTCTTTTTCAAATTTTGGATATACATTGATATTATATATTGACTAATTACACGTGGTGAAAAAATTAAGTAATTTGAATCGGTTCTTCGGTTCTTCTTTCTTGCTAAAAATGATGAATGGGAGATATAGTATATGATAAAATACCAATTGCATGACGAATAATATACCATTTGACTCGTACCATCGAGAAGGTGTTGGTAATCGGAGAGTGTATCTCCGACCAAGTTTGGGAACCTTCTTTGTCGTTAGTTTCAAATGCGAGCTTCAAGTTAATCTTTCTATATTTTGTTTGCGTTTTAACTTGTTTTCAAGTTTAGGTTCGCACTTTTTTTATTGTTTTATAAAAACAATTTTTTTTTGGTTGATGAATAAATTTAGCATCGCAAGAAAAATACCATTTGTTTTTGTTTATTAATTGATAAAAAACCAATTGCATAGATATATCTAAACGATTGGATATAGCTTGTGACCTATATATATTGTAACGTTTTATGTTCCTTGGCGAAAAACATGAAAAGTAAACGATCCAATGTTTATTTTTTGGACGTCAGTAAATATTCACATGGAGTTAGGAATTTTGGTCAAACTTGAAATCCTTGAAGGAGAAGAGCAGACGTGGTTGGTAAGACCATCCACATTGCACATAAAATATAGATGTCTCTAAATAAAAAAATATTAAAAACATATTCTTTCTTCTTTTTACTCAACTTTATACCTTCTCTTTCATCATTTTACTCAACTTTTATTAATTTTATATTTAAACACACTCTAATTTTCATCCATTCTCTTTCTAACTTTGTCTTTCCATACATCCCAAAAGACATCCTCTCTCCAATAATATCCACTATCTCATCTCTTTACTCAAATTTTATTAATTTTATATTTCAATATACCCCATTGTTTCAACCAAAAACACTCTCTTTCTTCTTTTTACTTAATTTTTAATAATTTTATATTTAAAAACACCTATAAAATATAACCAATGCGGATGCTCTAATTTAGCTTCCGAGGTTGAACTTGAAACCATTTACCAATTATTAAATTCATTTCAAATAGGAAAAAATGATAAAAGTAGCTCACCATTTGCTGTTGCTAGTCCATGTTTGCTTGACCATTCAAAGTGC